GCTGTCTCTTATACACATCGAAGTACCCAAAATTAATAAAATAAAAACTAACACCATAAAACGAATGGCACGCATAGACTAATAATTGACGGCTGTACTCGCAACTAGTATCGGATTGTCGATGCCACAATAAAGATCAAAGGACTGTACACACGCGCTATGTTCGAGAGCGGAGATGTGCGTCCTTTTGTTGAATTACCTTGATGGGGATGACGATGATTTTTTTTTTTTTTTAATAAATCCTGCTGGTTTATTGAAGGGTTGAAGGGCGATGGTTTCTTAAATTACTTATTCCCAACTGAAGCCCATGGGATCACTTCGTTCAGAAGTGAGTGATTGTAATGGATTGCTTGTATGCATTACGATGGCTATTGTGTGGCTGGCCAGGATTCTCTTGTTACCTCCACATGGACATTCTTAGAACCAATTAACTAAGCTGCTGACAGCGCACTATGGACCAAACTTTTGCCTCATGAGGATAATGACTTTTAACTTTACTTTCACGTACACACCATACATATCTAGTCGTCATTTCCTTCATCTTTATATGTTTGTCTTCGCCTTTTTTTGTCTTTATCTTTATATTTGTATTAATAGTAACGTTATTTTTATGAACATGAACGTGCTCATTCATAATCGTCAATATAGCATCAAATAATTAAGAATTCAAACACATTGTGTTACAGAAAGCGGACATCGCAGCTGGCCCACTGACCATCCGGCCTGACCGGGCAAAAGACGTACAGTTCACAAGCGCATTTATGCAGGCTGATTTAGCGGCTCTGATCCGTCATCCTAGCTACACCACTGGAGATGTGCTCAGCTTTTTATATCCATTCTCGCTCTGGGTATGGATTTTAAATGCAGTCGTATTTATTATCGTTAGTATGATCATTTATGCAATCAGCTATTTTGATCCGTACGAGTGGAGTGCAACTTCGATGCGCGGTGGCACGTTTTTGGAAAACAAGGACAATTTTAGTAAGTCAAACACGATGTGGTTCTTGGCGTCTACGCTGTTTTTTCAGAGTTATGACACATCTCCACGATCAAACGCAGGCCGTGTAATGGCAGTATTTTGGTGGGCATTTGTTATCATCATGATGTTTCTTTACATTACAAATTTACCATTTTTTCTGCAGTCAACAAAGAGAGTGGCAAATGTGAGGTCAATGGATGAAATGCTTCGCAAATACGACGTTCAACCGGGAATAGTTAAAAGCGATTCCACATTCCATCTCCTAAAGAAGTCCAAAGACCAAACACTCAACCAGTTTTTCAAAGTCATTACGAATGCTGAACCAAGCGCTTATGTATCTAGTATGGAAGAAGGCATTGAACGTGTTCGCAATAGCAGTAACCGTTTTGCTTTGATTGGGGAAACCCCTGTCCTTGATTTTCACGCATCAAAAGAACCCTGTGATATGTACGTAACCGCTGGGAAACTTTACAGGCAAAGTTACGCACTCGCTGTCCGCAAAGACTCGCCATTAACAGAACCTCTCTCACACGCGATTGAAGTACTGATCGAGAACGAGCAGATACATCGGTTGGAGTTCAATTGGTGGCAGCGACATAACCGCTGCGGTAACATGACCACGTGGGAGAAACAGGGCATTTTTTCGTACACTTCTGTCGATTTTTACGGTATTTACCTACTTCTTGCACTTAGTATGATCGTCAGTTTTGTGACCTTCCTCGTGGAATCTCTTTGCTGCTGTCCCACCAAAAAGTGCAAAAAGAAGAATAGTGCCACATCACGGAGAGGCGAGGTTAGGCAGAGTCGCGGAATCTATTCCGTAAATACAGGCCGTGGAGGACATAATGGGGCAAGGGTGGCGAGTGAGCATCAAAATGAGCCGCAGCTTACTAAATCTGGAAGTTTGTCGAAGGATGAGTGGATATAAAACCAAACTGTTTCCATCTGATTGTATGGTCGTTGTATTTTTCGTCTCAGTCTTGTCTATTCTGGCTAAATACGTCTGAAGAGCAACCGATGGTCAATTCCCTGGATTATCGTTAAAATGTGAAAGAAGAATTCCTACGAAAATGTAAAGGAATACAATATAAACTTTATATTAAAATGTCAGCAAGTGTGTAATAGTAGGCCTAGGCCTAAGCCTGCGTATCTCCGCCAGGAAGGTTCCCCATTTACCTATGTTTGTCTACATATTGGTATAAGGAAAAGATTATTAAATTTCTGAGTGAAATGCCAAAATGCCAAGGTCAGTAGGAAGTCGAGGTTTTAAAAATAATTGTGTATTAAATCGATTGTATGCACTTCATGTGTAACTCCTCTAGGTATTCATCTGCGCAATTATATTTAGCATGGTTTATTGGAGAGTGATGAGAAAAACAAATTACAATAGATACCTGTAACTATCATGCTAAATAAATAAAATGATGGTATATGTAATGTTTAATAGTCTCAACAATACTTGAATGCTGTAAAACAATAAGTATATTGATTACAAGTAACACATTTATTACAGTTCACACTCCACTTCGAGACTGCCATTGAGACCTAAAAATGTGGGATAGTCTAGGGGTTCGGTTTCCAATTAGATGGTTTGTGTTAAAAGATTGTTATAGTATTTGATTTTTTGCAACAGTAGTCTCAAATTAGAGGGTTTTGGAATTGGAGGGTTCTCGAATTGGAGGGTGCATTTATTATTATTATTATTATTATTATTATTATTATTATTATTATTATTATTATTATTATTATTTATTATTACTGTTGTTGTTGTTATCATTATTATTATTATTGTTATTATTATTATTATTATTATTATTGCACATTTTGGCATTATTGTATTTGTTGTTGCTCTTATAATTACTATTTTTTTTCATTATCCTGTTGTTAGTTATTGTTATTACAGTATTTTTCGAAAATAGGAAAGCACAATTTGCCGTGTTGTACTGTTGAATTGCTCTAATCATAATGGTCGGGAAGTTTTTTTGTTTTTTGTCTTGTTTTATTATAGGCCTATGCCTGAATTTGCATTTGGACTGGTAAAATTACAGCCTTTTGGTTAAAATCGATGATAATATATATTAGTAATTATTCGTACAATACGTTCTGTTACTTGCAGATCATGTATATTTTGTGAATAGCGCCCTCATCGGGATCTTTCGCATCTTATAAAACTAAAATCCAGAAATCGTTTTGAGGAATTATTTTTTGTCATATATGAATAAACTACATAAATGAAAATGATGATCAGAACCATTACTTAACACTATATAGAGTAGTCCCAATAGTATATAGATAAACTGACTTGAGGTTCAGGTCGCTTGTTTTAAGTTAAATTACCTAAAATGACAACGTATGCACCAACCATGAATCACTAAATGTATAAATAAATAAATATCTTGTCACTTATAAGATTAGAAAGGTCATTTTTTTATATGGAATGCCTGTAATTATACCCTATTCTGACTACACTCCATTTGCGATAAGTTCGTCTACAAAAACTAAAATTCGTTACGAAACCTAAACTACGAATGCCGTATATAATATTTATTACACTAGATTACATATTGCTTGAATAAGGATTTCTGGTTGTTTAATATCGTGCTGAACGCTACATGATAACATTGGTAGGCCTATTTTGTTAGTTGTATATTGTGTGATTGTGTCACAGAGCAAACACAATTTCTATGTATATTTTTTTAATTAAACAAACTACAATAAATGAAAATGGTATGAAATTGTTTGAAAATGTAATTAAGTTAAACTAAAATTGGAACTCAATAAAACCAGTATTTCACAAGTAGAAAAATGAATACTGTCAGCATTGTAAGCTAATACATTCATTTTACAGTAAGCGCTTCTTCTTATCGAGTCACTACGTAGCTAGTGTGTATGATCTAGCTTACGTAGTGTGGTAGATGGATTCGCAGGTGGGATGGATACCTGACATGGGCCGCGACGTAAACGCTTCTTCTGTGGCCGGACAGGGGACTGGAAAATGGACCAGTACACCGGGGTAACCCCCTACACTTCTCGAAGCGCTTAGCCTAGATTATCGACGATTCTACAGTCAGTTTTCACCCGTCTTATAAAACTAATAACACCGCTATATGAAATCTAGTTAGGTCCATACTTTATTTAACCTTGGAGGAAATATATTAAGATATTATTTCCTCCATGATTTAACCGATCATTGGTTTTGTCAACAAGGGCCAGTGTAACATAATGGAATTTGTTAAAGTTTACAGTAATTATAATTTCATGCTAAAACGGTTCATGAATTAAAATTGATCCTCAACGACTTGTCTCGTTAATTGAGGAATTGTTCCTCATTGCCAATCAATAATTGAACAAATTCCTTGTTTTACATTACACACCAAATAGCTTTTCTGTAATTAATATTAATGTCAAGGTTGAGGGCGTATGTAATTTCTCAAAAGATCCCATTGAACCAGCTCCGTGTCAGTGACGCTTAGCTAATCAGCATATTACGTATTACACTAACGTATCGTACAAAGCTGGCCATCTCTGGTATTTTTTTAAGCCGCCATTTTATGCGAAATACTAAACCGCATCGTATATATTTTTTCAAAAATATAACGCGTACAAGATAAACCTCGATATTGTATATCGCGCTAAAATGGCACACGCTGTCATACAGATATTAGCGTGTTTGGCGTATTTTCACACCAATATTCGCCTATCAAATGGAGAAGGTGTTACATTCGGTAAGTGTAAATTTTTGTTTGCATACCTGTTGATATTTTGAAAAGTAACTGATCGCGCATTTAAAAATACGAGTTAAAATTACTCATCTCCCATGTTTTTATATATATTGTACATAGCCTAACAGTCAGTTCTAGCTAGGCTATACTATTTTTCTCAATAATTTATAGGTAGGCATACTTTAACAACAATATCTTTAAAACGTGGCTTATTTTTAACCAAATACTCAGAGTTTGAAACCTTGGATGATGAATATGTATAGAGTGATTCGCTCGTATTATCTATTTGTCCTTCTACGTAACAATAGTCGGGTGAATAGGGAAGTCGGATTAACAGTACATCTCAGACATTAGCTTTCACTGCTAACGGTACCAAGTGCATTAGAGCAGTACTGTATTTACTGATAGATGGTGGGTCTGATCATACGGTACTAATAGCTAGATACCTTTATTATAATATCCCAACAAATTTATATAAAAATAAAACAGTAGCCTCATAAACCTGGATCGATTATAAAGTAGGTTTATGCCTTTTTTTATGTTTACTGTTTGCGCCGAGAGACGCTGCTAAATATTGCCTGTATCGTCGATATAAAATGTAGTAAAGTATAAAATGAACACAACATGTTCTATAAACATTAGCCGGCTTATTGACTTTCTAATACATTTTAGCAAATTTGCATATTTTGTTAACATTTCAAGCGCCATTTTAGTTTAATAAGGAACTATAATGTTTCAAATTTGGATAAAAATAAATATCACACTATAGGCCTATGTCAATTTAACTAAACCTATTATGAATATAGGCCTAATATGTGTTTTGATAATTTCACTTAATTTTTTTTTAATCAAGTATCCCTGTAATATTAAATGAATCATTTTTAAAATTGAAATTCTGCGTTCTGGGCATGCTTTAAATGCTGCATAATGTGTTTCTAGCTAAAAAGATTCGTTTGTTATAATTTTTGTTATCGTAAACGGAAGCGTTACTCATGTATTATCGGTTCTTGATACATTTGTTTTTTATCTTTGCTTCAACCACAATACATTCCAATACGGAAGCGTCACTCTACTTTATTGTCCTTCGTAAGAGGTACTTGGCATGGTTTTCATAAATCTGGCCCTATTTAACAATCATTGACACCTGAATTAACCGCATAATGTAGGACTATAATATAATGATTTACACGTTGAAGCAAAATTTTATCCAAAATCCAGAGATTAGATTATGATAAAATAAATAAAAATTAGGTCTGCATTAAAAAAAAAAAAAAAAAAAAAAAAAATGTGGAATATCTACAACAGACCGTGTAGCAGGAAATTTGCTGATTAAAGGATTAATATGCTCAAGTATTTACAAATCACTTCGTATCACCTTTTGTACCTGCTAGTTTTCCCTCAATCAATCCTCGACTGGGGAGGATGCAGGATTTGGCGGTAGGAGGTGCGTGAGAGACGACACCACCTCAGCCCGACATGGTTGGGGCTGATTGCGAACATTTTGGGACCTCTAGGTTGGGGCGGATCCAGGATTTAAAAGAAGGGTTCAATATTTTTTCAAAAAACCCCGAATTGAAATAGGGTCTAGGGGTCCTCCGTGGGAAGCAAAAACAGTGTTTTTAATTTATGTAATTGAAGGCTAGTTGGGCTAAGCCTAGTCTGTCCGATATGCCAACCTATACCTAGGCATACATTTTGTAAGCCAGGACCCAGCAGTGCTTTGTTACGTTTCTTCAAGAGGGGGAGGGGGTGGTTGGGAAATCGTCCAACTCATGAACCCCTGGATCCGCCATTCATGCTATAGGTGCCTGGAAATTGAATTCTCATACCTTAAAAAATCTTACCGGTAGCCCTACTATGTTCATATCAACAATACAATACAACAATTATTTTCTTAATACAATTAGGGGATGCGATCGCACCGTCTGCAGCCCCACATATGCACCCGCCTAGCTTGAGCCCGACCCACTTAACATTGGCGCACCCAGCATCCCCCTCCATACCAAAACTCCTATATACGCCACTGTCAATAGAGAGTTTATTCGCCTATAGCCTATTGTTAATGATGTTGGCATTCTAAAATGATTATCTGACATATCGCAACAAGATTCCCACCCAACCCTCTTCACACAAAAAAAGAGTAAAAACAGTAAAGATTGATTAATAGGCATCTAATGGTGCATTATGTGGCCCGTCTACCGGATAAGTAAAAAAAAAAAACAAACAAACAAACAAACAAAAAAAAAACAAAAAAAAAACAGAAAAAAAAAACCATACATTGTGTGTATCCGATGAGGATTACACAGCTGGCACGTTGTAACTAAGAGTAATCAACACCTCTTTTTCCATTTTCATCAATTCCTGGGTTTCTTTTAACAGACAATCTATGAGGTCACATAGAAAGATAGAGAGAGGTAGGATTATCTTAAGCGACAAAGTACTGTTTTGTTGGGGGAGCGAAAATGTAGATTCTATTGATCGCCATTTTTTAAGCTTTTGAATTTGGCCTACTTTTGTTAAACGTAGTACGGTACCTTCAGCATTTCTATTTCAATAGGTTATTTTTACAATTGTTGCCATAGCTCACTGTCCATTGTACGAGGATGGTGAAGTCAGTTCCTTTATTATAGATGCATTGTTGACTAACCTTGCGCCCCCAGCTATATTTTCAATACTCTATTTAATCTCTAAAACATTTGCATAATGTGGGAATGACAGCATATACGTGCGACTATTTCCTTTTCCTACTAAACTGACATTGAAAAAAAAGAGAGTATTGGGTGATTATTATTATAGCCTCTTATTACAGGCTTTATATACCTGTATTTGAGCCATTATATATAGATTATTTAATACCGTTATATTATATTACTCTATGTCAGCTTTCCGATTTAATATAGGCAGGGAACAGTGAAATTACAATTTAACTATTTCCTGATATAAGCCTACAGTGAAGTTTAGCTCACAATTATTAGCTAGAGATAACAATGGCTCATATGGTCGGTCGTCATACTTTAAAAATGTAAGTACAACAAACGTCTATAAATAGGACTGGATATCTCTTCATCAACACCCTGTAAATGTTGTGTATTTTATGTAAGAAAGCATTGCCTATGTAATTTCGATATTATTGCCTAAATAGCGGAAAAAAGTCAGGCATACTCTTGTGTCCCGAGGTGCATGGGTCATTTCATGCCATAAGCAAAGCAAATAAATCCAAACAAACGTAACTACCATAATAACTATACCACAACAAATAAAAGCTGTTATCGAACGTTAAATTGTCAGATGTCAATCAGCACCCCGGCGGCATTAATTCTAAAGATGAATGCAATGGTAAACCGTTCATTTTCTTGCCCTTAGAAATCAGGTTTTCGCCCGTGGTTAATCTTTTACACACTAAAAACTTTAAACGATTTCACACCGAAAGACTCCTAAAAAATAGGTCGTTTGCTTGATATAAATAAGTTTTTGAAGTGCATTTAACCGAAAAAAGTAATTTAGCTATTATTCTAAAGTATTAATTGTTTATTCCTTGTAACAAATCAGGGTCGGACACAATAGTCCTTTTGTAATCTAATGTTTGGTGAAGCCAACATACAGATCACAATTTGATAAAAACTAATTGAAGGAAAATAAATATATATAACTAAATTTAAGGAAATCCCCAAAATAAAAAAATAAAAAATTAACGGTGACATAAAAATATTTACTGTGATCTGTCCATCAACGAGTCTAAAGTTGGATCCGTGATTTAATTGAATTTTAAACCCGAGACTTCTGAAATCACCATTTAACATTGTAGTACTAAATGATTTATACCACTTTGGTCAAAATGTCAAAAAAGAAATCATCGTTTAAAGTAACCTGTTACTGAATATCTGTCAGGGTTTTGCAATTTAAAAGGTCTACCCAGACGGAGGTTTCTCCTGCTATGGTGACCCACTTTCAGTTTGTTTTAATAATTATTACTGAATATTTTTAGTCTGGTTGGTGAATAAAGGCTCTACTCTAGGAATGACATGTTTTTTAGACATCGATAATAAATATTATAGAAAATATTTTAAAATAAAAGTATAAAAATATACCCTTAGGAGCGGTTGGCGAAGCAGTTGTATTTCGGGGTCTAAGCATTCAAGGTCGGCGTTTGGGGTTTGAACATTCGCTGTGCTTTATTTGCATTTGCGCCCCTTTAAAAGCAGTGTACCTACGTTTGTCTCTCATCACCGCCCAGAAGCATAAATTGGTAGGTGTGTATGGTTGAAGTATACATTCCTGTCCTGTTGCAAATCCTGAGAAAATATCTAAATGACTGTAAGTGGATCAAACAGAATTCAAATAATATAAGTTCAAGGGTAATGGGCCTACTTCAAATCCACCGCTAGCTCTGTGCTGATAGTACAGTACACTTTACAAATCCACATTTCTTTATTTAGATTAATATAATATTCATTGTCATAATTCTTAGACTTCAAATTGTCCTTGTACTACGTGATATACAGAATTCCAGAAAGTCTGGCATTCAATAAGATTATATATAGTTATATAAATTAATGCCTTGTACAGAGCATAACAAGGTATTAATATATATAACAAGGTATTATATAAATTAATACCTTGTTATGCTTTGTACAAATATAATAATAATATAAATGTCATTACAAACAAACAATGATGATGGTAATGATGATGACCATTAATATCCTGGTTTTTAAGCCAAGCATTTACCAAAATAAAATATTACTAATATGGCCTAATAATCATCATACTTAGGCATTAAAACAATACCGGACCTGCTGCTTCCAGAAACTTCCATTTTTACACTGACGACCATATACCTTCAGTATCAATTCCTTTCATGCGTTAATTAACTTGTACTGTATGGAGTTGCCGTACCTGCATGCTGATATGACTCACCGGGTGTGGTTGTATACATCATTATCATAATCGTTTATGCATGGACCTATGCACGGCTATATTATTTAAATTAATAGTATGTATGTTTGTGCAGATGTATATAATAATACATCAATAGAAACTGTGTAACGGTAATGAAACCTCAGATATGTTGACTTAAACAAACAATAAAATGTATTGCAACGAATATGTCGACTTTTGTATTCCATCCGTTTTTGTTGCTCCCTCATTCTGTTTTTGGCCTTTTTGGTTTTTTCATCGCCAACTAATAACAAATTCTTCACCAGCAATAATTATAGGTAATTCATACTACTGAAAACCACATAATGTCAAGAAATATTAACTTTCAGTATAGCTCTTTTAATGCTGATAGGCCTAGGCATAAATTATTACTGTCGAGTGTTTCTGTTTTTAATTTCTGATTTTAGTTTACGATGAACATGAATTAACTAATATCTGATGTATTTTATTAACTTTATACTAACGACTGAACCAATGTAGTCAAAAACAAATTTCTTAAAAGACAAAACAGGGAGGCCATGTCTTCGACGAACGAAAAGGTTGATGTCCCTGGCTGGCGTGGTTAGGGATTGCTTAGAACCCCCAGAAATATTGTCCAGTGGCGATACCCCTCAATGGTGTCTATTAGGGATTTGAAAATGTAAAAAGTTGTGTCCGTACAAAAAATGGCATTACAGATTTCTTTAATTGTAAAAATGGTTTAAAACAAGGATGCATTCTTTCACCACTCCTATTTTCTCTTTTCATTAATGATTTACATTACGAATTTAACAATAATTATGATTTTGATGGTTGCGGATTAGGAATGACTAAACTCATACACATTTTATTTGCAGATGATCTCGTACTCCAGTGGCGATACCCCTCAATGGTGTCTATTAGGGATTTGATAGGCTTATTTAATCTATTTAGAGTCTACTAATCCAGTGTAAAAAAATACATCAACACATTTTCCCACCCCGACGAAACTATGGAACCAAGTTTTGAATGCTGAATCCACCTGCTTCAAGATATGTCAGACAGTTTTTATTTTTCTGTGAGAGTAGATGGAAAGAACAATGTAATTTTTAAATTTTTGGATGAATAAAGTGATGTCTATGTCTATGTCTATATTTTTTGAAAATATTTTGAAGGGCAGGTAATGAGACACTGTGCAACGGTCAACAAACTATCCATCTTTATCTATTGTAAAAACATATGTTTTGTCTCTTTCGATATAATTCAATCGATGTTACTTTTCTTTTAATTATAGGTGCGTTGCTCGGAAAAGATACCGGAAGTCCCGGAAGCGTTTACTATGAAATATTGACCCATGCTATGTCAGTGGTCCGGGCAAATAGCACATTCTTGACACAGTTTCATAAAGATGTATCGGTAGTTGAAATCGATAGATTCACCACTGAAGACTTATATCCAGCTTTAATGCATAGTAAGTATTTTTTTTCCAAACGGCAGTGGCAAATCCAGAGACTTTTTTGTTTTTATGTGATAATTCAATCGCCGTTAATATTTTATTGAGCTGCATGCGCAATACTACACTGCCATTCGATACGTCATTAAAATGTTTAGAAATAGATGTGCGATTATTATAAGTGAAATAGATGTGCGATTATTGTAATTATCTTCATTCCTCTGAAGATTCAATTGAGGTGAGTAGGATCACAGTGGCATACGTCTGACTACTGTATTTAAATTAGCAATGTATGTAGGTTCCTATGTTGTGAACCAATAGGAAGCTTTACAATGCGATCTGGATGTTCGTCCGTACGCTGACGTCATCAAATTTGTCGAACGTTTGCAAACAAACTTGAATTTCCAAATACCTACTGGTTATGAATTTTGTATACATGGAGTTACTTATAACATTTTTTTTGATAAATGTTAAAGCAATACACCAGAACTTTATTATCCACTCCTTATAAACTCGGAATAATCATAATCTAGCGTCAAGTAAATTATTGAATGTCTATTTTGATCAATAAACCAGATGCAATTATACTGATTGATTGGTTTCGATAATTCTGCAATTAATACAAAAATGCTAGAAAAAGTAAACAGTATCACGGTAGGCCTAAGTTTGGTAAAGCAAAATGTTTCCTGACAATGGACATGATGTTGTTATATTTTTTTTCTTCTAAAATTAAGCATGTGAATTTGTCGAAAATAATGTGCTGTCCACCCTGATAGTTACCGAGGATGTGTGTATCGACTGCGGTGATGTAGGCGGTTTTGTCAGTCAGGCCCTCCCGGGACCAATATTCACAATTGATCCCGGCCAGATTGGATCGAACTCCCGTGCCCTCAAGCTGTACCCAACCCCTGAGGACATGAGCACACTTCTGCTTGATATGTTGGATTATTTTAAGTGGCGTAAATGGACGATTGTTTACCAAGACAGCCGTAAGTTTAAGCCTTATTATTAGCAATAGTAATAGGCCTAATAATAATAATAATAATAATAATAATAATAATAATAATAGTAATAATAATGATATAATAATAGTAATAAAATAATACAATTATTATTGTTATTATTATTGACTTAACAATAATGTAATTTAATATTTATTATTAGCAATAATAATAACCCTAATAATTATTTTAATAATACTGTAGTAATTATGATAATAATAATAATATAATAATTGACATTTAATTTTATTATTATTGACATTTATTATTATTATTATTATTATTATTTACATCTATTATATACATCTGTTATTATTATTGACATTAGTATTATTATTAATATTATATTTATTATTATATTTATTTATTTATTATTATTATTATTATTGACATTTAATATTATTTTTATTACTGACACATTATTTTTTTTTCTTCTCTCTTTTTTCTTTTATTTAGGCACACAATACATGTGCCAAGGATTGTTAATAGCGAATATATCACTGTCCTACTTGTAGGTGAAAAGCCTTTACACAAGACAAACATTCACACACGATGCTTTACACAAACTAACTTAATCTCAATATGAGATTTAGGGAGTGGAGTTGTTTTGGTCGTGAGAAAAAATCCTGCAACACTGACAGGAATTTAACCCATTATTATTATTATTATTATTATTATTATTATTATTATTATTATTATTATTATTATTATTATTATTATTATTATTATTATTATTATTATTATTATTATTATTATTATTATTATTATTATTATTATTTGTTATTATTTTTATTTTTATTATTATTTTTATTTTTATTTTTATTTTTATTTTTATTATTATTATTATTATTATTATTATTATTATAATTATTATTGACATTATAAGAATAATTAAGTTATGTATTACTTTATAGAGCACAATACATTTGAAGACATAAGGGTGTATGCTTCAGAGAACAAATTCAACATTACTTTACGAGCTTACGATGGCGATGTACCAGCCTTAGCTGAGAAGATCAAATCCGACAATAACCAGAACATCCTTCTAATGACAGAGAGCGAGGAAGCCACGCTGGAGATCATAAAACAAGGCATTGAACATGATATATTCTCCAGCAAATACACTTGGATGTTGGCCTATCTAGTAAGTTTGCCTTTAGCTACTGGTTCGGTTAATCATTCAGGAGCATTTTGCTTGTGTGACGACTGACCGATCATTCATTGCACAACGTATTCGGGCCATAGGTGCCAACCTGCGCCCTAGAATTATTACAGGGAACTCAATGTTCTCACATGCGCAGTGGATGCTAGGCCTACGTCATGTCGTTACGTTCTACAAGATCTTACAGTCATCTTAACATGAACGATAAGTTTTTTTTTTTTTTAAATTAATGAAATTGTATTGTACGAGTCATGACCAACGGTTTGTTTATGATTCCCCCATTTTTTTTTTAAATGGAAAAGCTATCAGATCGTATTGCTATGGTATGGATAGCAATAAATCAATGCTAATTATGATCAGTTTAAGTTCCCATCTACACAACCAATGAAAAGTTGTAATGTGACTACAACTCTCTTTTTTTTTTTTTTTTTTTTTTTTTTGCTATTGAAATCTTCCCAAAACGATATCCTCCTATTACTAGGCATAATGATATATTGTTTTATTCTAATGTCTTGATTTGTGCAGGATGTGTTTATAGATCGAAGTTTAGAAGAAATTCTGGAGAAAGAAGGCGTGTACATCACCCGTTTTAAGATGAACTACACAACAGAATGGCAGTACACCTACCCGTCCATACAGATCAACAATCGCGAGTCACGTGAGTGGTCCATGCGTGAGAAACTAATGTTTGACGCGTTTATTACTGCCGCTTATGGCCTTAGGAGGTACCACGAACGAAAAGGAGATAGCCAGAGTCTGAGTAACATCTTTCCCGGTGATAGTGTTATTCAACCATGTGAGGAAACTAACCCAAATGAACGTCCACTTAGCGAACTTTTCCACGATATGCTATGGGTAAATATAACTTTTGTTACAGCCATTGGTTAATACTAGTTCAGCATGCTATTATAATAATTACTGTGCTGTCGGATTTTATACACCAGATATAAATTATTATACGAAAGATAGATTATTGATTTTCAAATATGTTTATGCATTATACATGCACTTACATACGGTAAATATTTGTTTATCTTATCTATTGTAATAGAAATGATTTATATGTTGTTTATCATTTTTGTATAGTATAACTTTGAAGGGCTAACCGGCAACATTGCGTTCGATGAGATAGGCAATCGCGTCAATTACTCAGTGATGGTGTACAGTGGACGAGGGAGGGCTCTCAACCAACTGGTAAGTTTTGTAGAAGGAACTCACCACTCTATCCCCATCACATGTACTGTATTATTTCTTCGAAACACTTGATTAAATATGTTGTATATTGTCACTATTTTATTCATTATCATCGTCGTCATCATCATCATCATCATCATCATCATCATCATCATCATCATCATCATCATCATCATCGTCGTCGTCGTCGTCATCGTCGTCGTCGTCGTCGTCATATTCATCATCATCATCGTCATACTCATGACCATGACTGTTTAGAAATCGTAATTATCTTATAAATAATTCATTTTAAGCATTTCAAGCGCATAGAGACTATTGTAGTATGCGCTTAATAAATATACAGCCATTACCATTACCATTAAATATAAAACATTTCACAGAGAGGCGAATGGGTACAGAATCCGGCACACTGGGAACAAAGATACAACCTACCATTTGAAAGTGAAAACCGATTTAATATCACACGTTATTTAAAAGGAGAGGACCGTAAACTTCAGGTTGTTTCAATTGAGGTAATAACATCTCTTTCTTTTGTTATACCATAAACTGTAACGTATGGGGTGTTAAAAGTGTAACATGTGTTGTACATAGGTCTATCTCACTTTTTGAAAGATTATTATTTATAAAATTCTGAATAGTTTTTCATTGCAATGAGGATGATGATTACAATATTATGATGATGACAAATTTATGTTTTTCCTACAAGGCCGCACCGTTCCTTTTCGTAAAAACAGACGGAGAAAAAGACGCGACCAACGGGCGATTTGAAGGTTTCATAATGGAGCTACTAGAAGAAATAAAGAACAGTATAAAGCGTATCGAGTTCAACTATGAAGTGGAATTGGTGCCTGACGGCAAATATGGACGACCTGGCAAATATGACAATATTTGGAGTGGAATGGTCGGTGAAGTATATCGCGGGGTAAGATTAAAATGTCTAAATTTCTAATTTTCAATAATGTCTTCCATCAACTCTTAATAAATCTCGTGTTTTTACCTAAGAGTCGCTCGATTCAGAGCTATCTAACTGTTAAGGCCAACTCAGACAGCGTCGGCCGACGCAGCTCGACCCGATTTATCGTCGGGGACAGTCTTAAGCCGTCGTGAGAAATATTAAACATGTTTAATATTCTACGACGCGACTGCCACTGACGCACACCATCGCGTCTGCGTTTAACTCACACAGACCCGACGCTACAACAAATCGCGGCGGGCTGCGTCGGCCGACGCTGTCTTGAGTTGGACTTTACTTGATGCATTCTGAGATACCGACTAAGGCATGGTGTAACACACTGCAGTTACAGTAACCACATGAAAGCGTATTTCCTAGAGTACATTTTTAACTGGTTTATCGGAAGATGCCTTCTGTACAGTTTATTAACAGTACCCTAGTTACCGTGAGAATTATGTAACCATAGTAGTTAGTTGGCTGACTTAGTACTTGTTCAAATGTAAACATCCATACGTACATCCCCAATCTTTCACATGGATATTCATGGAACTTTGATTTCTAACCCCCATCCTTTCGATTGCCTTCCAGAAAGCAGACATTGCTGCAGGACCGTTAACCATTCGAGCAGATCGTTCGGCCGCAGTGGCTTTCACTTACCCTTTCATGGATGCCGGAGTTAGGGCCATGGTGCAGCATCCGAATCACGTGAAAGACGCTGTTTTCAACATATTTTACCCGTTTGCAGCTGAAGTCTGGATCTTAAACGGAATTCTTTTCTTTTTGGTCACCTTAATCCTATACCTTTGTAACTACTTCAGTCCCTACGAATGGAGAGCTGCTGCTGAACGAGGTGATGTATTCGAAGAGAATCGCGATAACTTCAACGCAACCAACACCATGTGGTTTCTAGGCTCGACGCTTTTCCTTCAGAGCTATGACGCATCTCCTCGTTCGAACTCGGGTCGAGTTATTACCATTTTTTGGTGGGCGTTTGTGATTATAATGGTGTTCTTGTTTCTATCTAACGCGCCTAGGTACTTGAACTTTTCTAAACAACTTACTAAGATCCGAACCGTGTACGAGCTTGTGGACCAACTGGAAGTACAGCCAGGGTTTATCGAGTCGAGTTCAACGTTCTTCTATTTCAAAAAGTCTAGAGACAACACTGACAATCAATTGTATAAAATGCTTAAGAATGCAAATCCTAGCGGAATAGTAGATTCATTGGGAGAGGGCGTTAAAATGATCCGTAATTCTGGAGGAAAATACACACTCCTAGGGGAAGCGCCGATACTGGAATACGAAGCTTCTAAGGAACCGTGCGATCTGTTTGTGGGAAGCGGAACTCTGGTACAGCAAAGTTATGCTTTGGCAGTTCGGAAAGGCTCACCTTTAGAGGAACCTATTTCTCACGCCATTCAGAATTTAAGGGACAACGGTGTCATTCATCGGCTCGAGCTCAACTACTGGGACAGACACAGTCGTTGCGGGAACTTAACTACTTGGGAAAAACAAGGTATCTATTCGTATACCGCATACGATTTCAGGGGTATATATGCCCTTTTTTCGATTGGAGTAATCATCAGTATATTCGTGTTTTTAATCGAGTACATGTGCTGTAACAGCAACCGGCGTACACGCAAGACTAATAATCAACAAAGGCCTAACCCAACGAATGCCACTCACGCCAAACACATCGACTATGAAATGAAGGACCCTAAAAATCAAGAGAAGCAGTGGTTATAAACATAATGCTTAACATTATAGAGGTTTTCTCGAATGTTGTGCAGCATTTTGTGATAAATTGAAAAAAAAAAATATTACAAATATGTGCACATAACTATGGACTGTAGCATTCGAACACATTCCAGTCTGTAACAAGCCACATGGTTTGTGGGTCATAGAAAATTGGTTTGGTTTTTTTTTAAACATATCATTTTATATAAAATCCCCTCAAATAATTATCGTCTGATAATTACAGATTTTAGTGTATAGTACCAATTCTAAGTTCATCATATATGAATGTAATAATTATTAAGAAGGCAGAGTTTTCTGTACAGTTTTTTATATTTTATCTTTTGTATTTTCATTTTTAAATTGATCAAAATCATGGAAACTGAGATTTAGGCCTATCTAGAAGAAGTGGTCATATGTTACCATCCATGGTAACTAACTTTATGCGCTTAGGAAATATCGTTGTGGTTCGCTAGAAGAAGCTCTCCAATCCTTGCAAGAAGGCGAGATATGCTCAGAGCTTTTGATAGAAGTACTAGTCATTCAACCAAATCCCAGTTGCGGCTCCAGGGATGGCGAATGAATTGATCTTTCCTGTCTCCTCCCCCAACAACCAGTAGCAGCTCAAAGGTCTCTAACCATAATGTGAAATCATATGATCGAATTAAAATAGCTAAAAACTAAGGAACTACTAGATTGCTCGTTGGAACACAATAGGTAAGGGGAACATTTCTAAACTGTCCCACTCGGACATTGGGTCCTTGATTGCTAATTAAATTCCCTCTCTGGTAAACCAGGGAACAGTGAACATTTTCATTGTTCCCTGGGTAAACAGTCCTGTGTCCGCAACTGCCCAGTTCAATGCTAAACACTCTTCTGTTTTCCTTCATAACGTTCATCATTGTTGTATATACATGACTGCAGTTTAGTGTTATATTTTATAAGTGTGCAAATCTCTCACACCTTGATGTTGTACCTAGATTTAACCCTCATAGTAAATAGTCTCGCTTAGGGCTTTCATATCGGTATTTTTTAATATTAAAGTTGTAATAAATGACAATAATATTTTTAAAGAATTTGATGGATTAAATAATAACAATAATTTACAATGTCATTTTTGTATTTAAGCTTTATATTAATTGCAATTGTATTTACTGTAAATGCTGTGGCTCACTAAATTGCAATTTAAAAATTCAACATCCTCATTAGATACAGAAAAACACTTAGGGCCTACAAGCATGCGTTTCTAATGATTGACATCTTTTTATCCACTCTAAATTTTCATAATAAATCAGACCATGGCCAATACCTAAAATTTTGGTTTTCCATAGTTCAGCAACTGGTAGTACTTACATTGTTGTCCAAAATCTATAAGTATACATACGCCACGCTTTTTTATGCAAAGCACCTGTATAAAGCTGCTTGTTATAAATCGCGCATTAACGCAACTTGTAGCCTGACGCAAGGAGCAATACGCGTGTTGGTCGGTGTAGCTGCGGTAACGCGTCACATCTAAATAGCTATAGTGTAAATCTATACCTTAATAGTAAACGTAACGTAATACCGTAATATTCAGACCTATAGAAGTTGTTAATTAATTATACAAACTTTAATACTCGTAATAAAATCGCAAATGCAAACCTACGTATGTTGACTGACACGGCCTGAAGTACTGTACTGCTACACGTTCTGAGCATGAGACGACACTATTTTTGATGGTAATGAATACAAAGCCGTTCTATTTAAGCCATACAAAATAACATTTATTGATTACTATACAGTATTTAAATTAATCGCAATCCCTTGTAATTTAATCCCTGGTCTTAAATGCCATTAATGGTTATGAAGTTATACAGTGTAATTGATAAGGTTACTGCCTTTGATTTGCTTATAACCCTATAATTTGTGTGTACTAACGAATAATGATTTTATGTGACCTTATTTGCCCTTCCGGCCTATGACACCAACATTACCTCGATTTAACTAATATAACCCTATTGTTTTTCATACACACTTGTGTTTGGCATCAACATCTGTATGGTTTTCTTTAAAGGCAGGCTCCGGAGGAACCTTTTCTAAGACAGACAAAAGTTGTTTGACGAAAAACTGGGGAACGGTGAATGAGATACAGATTTTTTAATATTTAAAAACTGGGGGAATAAGGTGTAAAAATGGGCAGTTACGCCCTGTGGCAACTGCCAGTTTAGCCTAGTTAACTATTAAACTGCTCTCCTATAATGATTGGCAAACATTACCCTTTATAATACATACTGTCAATTTTCGAAGATCGTCAGGGACGAAGGAATCAGCCGCAAGAGATAGAACTCTATTGATTACTTTGATATTCATTGTTCTATTAGAGGCAATGCAACTGTATTGAAAGTGCGAATTAATTCTAAAAGCCGGGAAAAGGAAAACAACAAGAACCACCCTGACCTATCGTTGTACTTTATAAAGACACTAAACTATAAAATTGTCGACCTCAAGGGACTAATGCAGCAGGTCAGACAAGTGTGAACGTCTTTTGTGTGTGTTTGCAAAACCTTGACTTTACTTGGCCTACTGTATTTTCTTCAATCTTGTTCAGTATTGAACTATCTTCGATAGCCCATTCCTTTGTGTATCCACATTGGGCCAAATAAAATAAATTGTTTGTTTGCCTTTCTTTCTTTTTTTTTAAAAGATAAATAGGGGCGGGTGGAATTTTTGTTTTAATTCTCATCAGACGGAATAGAAATAACCAACAGAGGCCTAGAATGACAATATCTTACACCAGACAGCAACTTTAGACTAATTTGTAGGGCATCCGGCAAAAATCCCTTGAATCCGCCATTGATCATTGTCATTAATATAAGGGGCGGTGAGGATTTCAGAGACCCTATATTGTATAGGGAGTCTCATAACTCTGAAGCCAAATTCTTCAGAGTGAGTGAACTTGTTTTCTATACATCATTAATAGAAAACAATGCTACACAATGCTACAATGAAGAGGTTACTTTCCACCCGTTTATGTTTGTTAAAGTTTTGAGAAAAAAAATCTTGGCAGCTAGTAGTTAAAACCTTAAGGGACCAATGAAACACTGTAGTTGTAATAAACAACCTACTTTTAATAATTGCCAACAAGAGCATGTCTCTGTGTTTACCGTACATTATAAGATTTTATAGATATTGAAGTTGTTTTGGTAGCGAGAAAGCATAGACTCCGTAAGAATGTAATAACATGGTCCTCTGATTTGGAAAGCCAGTTAATAAATCTCAAACAAACAACATAAAACATTCAATATCTTGTTTACTTAAATGGAATAAACGGTTTTTACCTCAACATGTTGTTGATTCCACACAGGCGCAATATTGGTCATATCAACATAATATCAATAAAAGCAGGGGTATAGCTATTCATTAGCTATAGCTCAAAAAACTTAAGCTAGCATTAGTAAAGCAATCAAATATCAAAATATATCACTATTATTGGCTATAGCAGATTACATCATAATTATGCTACTTATTGATATTGATATTAGTCTGATGTAGCTGGTTGTAGCAATTAATATCAACATTATAGCACTGATTTTTAATGATATAGCACTTTTACTGATACATGCTTTGCAGTATCTTTCATGTAACTGATATAAAGTGATATGTCTATTGAATATATAATTTAACTGATATCTGATACATACACTGATATTTAGTTATATCTGATACATACATTTCTATATCAGATATACTGATATTTACTGATATCTGATACATACGTACATTTCTATATCAGATATACTGATGTTTACTGATATCTGATGCATACATTTCTATATCAGATATACTGATATCTGATACATACATTTCTATATCAGATATACTGATATTTACTGATATCTGATACATACATTTCTATAAAAGATATACTGATATTTACTGATATCTGATACTTACACTTCTATATCAGATATAGTGATATATACTGATATCTGATACAAACATTTCTATATCAGATATACATACACTACAGTATGTCTACTCTCTCAGCAGCTATATCTGATATTTCTATATCAAATATACATGTCTACTCTCTTAACTGCTATATCTGATTCATCAACATAGCTTGGTTTTTTGGAAAAAAATCAAAAAATGCCTATGTCTTAACTCAAGAGATATCAGTGACAAACCCCAAAATGACCAATATTGCGCCTTTCTCGTTGATTCACCATCTATCGACACATTCAAGGACAGTGTATCTGATATTTACATCGGTTAATTTTCTCAAGTGTGAACATAATTGACCACCAACGTTGTGCGAATATACTTTCTTTGCAACGCGCTATTGGGTACAGCCAATCACAGGAAAATGAATTTAGTATGGTAATATTTATACAACTAACAATGTAAATGACGGCTGCAGATTCGAATTGAACTTGAGAGAAATCAAATTTTATGAAACCTTTCCTTGGAGCTTTTCTTACTTGGGTTTGACATTATTCAATTCACGTTTCCTTGCTATTATTCTAGGAAGCAATTCATCTTATTAGGAATCGAGTATTACTCCATATAGGTCATGGGTACACACTTTTGGGATGACACAAGCAATTTGACCTTGAAACTTGATTCCGATCAGCAGAAGATTCAGGAAGTCATTTTTCATTCCTATTTCTTTGCTTCCCTATCAATACCTGTAGGTCCTTATCTGAAAATTTACGTACTGTATATAAATATACTGGTATCACTGATGCCAGTATACACTCTTCTTTTTATAAGAACCAGTAAAATTTTTCCCCGGTCTCAATGTGCTTATATTTTGGCCAATTTCAGGCTTTAAATACGGGGTGCCGTTTGGGACATTCCGTACAAAAGTTGTAAAGTATCTTAATCAACGTTAAACTTTAACGTTGATGAAGATAGCAGGCGCTATCGAAATATCCGTTTGATTTTGTTGTAGCTTAATAAATTTGTGTTCCGCAAGTCAACTTTCATTAATTGTACACCGTTTTTTCATTTACTGGGTATCTACAATACAGTATGCATAGATAAATAGACCAATCATTGTACAGTTTTATAAGTATTTCTCATTTGCTCTCTGTCACCTTTATTCTTTTTCGATAAGACAGCCTATATTATATTGATTCATGATGTTTTCCTCATTCTCGCTGATGAAGGCCATGTTTTCATTTACATTAATTGTCGCTCGCCTGCTTGCTTGACTACTATCTCCCCATCCATATGCTTCTAGCTATATGCCTCATACTGTCAGGTTATTTGACTTGACTTTTAATAATTGTCAATGTAATTGTTTTCTCAAAATGTTGTAATCCCATTAGAATATAATTTTTTTTTTCATGACTAAATGTGTTCTAATATTTTTTGTTTCTTTTTCTTTGTGTGTGTGATTGGTTTTCTTGCGTGCGTTTATTTTTGTATATTATTGTTGTTATATTTATGTAAATATAACGTATTCAGTCATTTTTTTTCTTCTGTTATATGATTGTATTTATTTATGTTATATGAATGTGCAGAGAGCAGCTTAGCTCGATCGGCTAAACTGGTGGTAGTCACTGTGTGTGCGCTGAATCGTGGAGATCTCTAAGTCCCCGGTTCAATTCTCATCGCAGCTGGAGGGCTGAAATACAAGTTGCAACAGATCACCGTCTTTCGGATGGGACGTTTAAACCCTTGGTCCCGTGTGCAATAATGGCCCATGCAGTACACTCTTTGGAAAAGAGTAGGGGATTGTCTCCCGGTGTACTGCCCAATCACCACCAGAAGGACTCCACTGGAAATAAGTCTTCTTCTAGACTTTCTTGGGCTATCCTTGGTGTTTACACCAAATAAATCCTAATCCAAATCCAAATAAATAAATACTGTACTAATAATAGGCTATAGCATAATTAGTGTCTGTATGAGCGAAATCATCATCAATGTAATTATTGCCATAAAATCATCATCATTACAGTTTGTTAGGTCGTCAGTCGTTACCAATGATTAACTGATTTTGCAAATCTAAACAAGGTGGCCTGTATAAATTAGACAGACAAACTGACAAAGAAATATGATATTCAAAGTTCGAATTCATATCATAAAAACGAAATAATTTTAATACACAAAATGAACCAGTGAAACGTTTCTAAAGTTAACGATACACTGGTTGCTGTACTGCATAAATATATTACAAATCTAGTAAATTTGACCAAGGTGATGTATAGTAGAATGTTATCTTTTAATTACTTGATTTTTACAGGCCTATATTTAAATTTCAAGTGGCATAGCAATAAAGAAAGGGTCTTATTTTTCATTAAAGTCTGGCATAGAATCAAAACATTTGGACAAAAGGTATTTGTCAGCCTAATCCTACTATATTATATCCAAGGATAAAATGGAAAATACACTACAGTACATAATTATTCCTCCTTTTAAAGAGCTATATATTCTTTGTATTGTAAGCTTATGAAGTCACCCCAAAATACAATGTCGTAACAGTACACAATACGCTACAGAACACATTCATAAATATAAGCAAACTCACAATTAACCACGCGAGGTCCGAAGCGACGATTGAAATCATGACGGGTGTATGAATATGGATATTGATAGAGTAAAATTCTCTGGATACAGAATTTCTTTTGTTGAAAGAAAATTAACAGAGAATTAATGATGATACAGAATAGTTATTCAGAAATATATCTGTGGATCATTATATCTTCACCAATTAGAATTTTATCTTTAAACATAAATTTTAATGTCCCAAACGGCGCCACGTAGGATAAAGCAGGTCGAGAAGCTTTAGCTTCATGTTACATAGGACTACGTGCTATGTCACTGCAGGAGGAACCGTCTAACAAACGACCATTCATGTTAATAATGTCCAAGATTCAGGTGTGGGGCCACGATTTTAACCCGAGGATTTTTTTTCCTCCCCGACAAATTGTGTTTTTTCTCCTCGACGGAGGTGGGGCAGCTCTCCCGAAGGGGGCCATCGGCCTTGGCCCCCGGCCTTCCACTGGCGCCACCCCGAACAGATTCGCAACAAAAAGGTTCCAATCTCTAAGTTATTTTAAATCAAAATACCGTTGTAAGAAGTTAATTATTACAATATTAATATTAGAATCAATGCCAATAACAATCTATTTGTACATCGTACAAACTTGTTATTTTTAAATTAGACCTAGGCTTAATGTAAAAGTATAGGCTCTAAATTAAATTTGTTTTACTTACTTATTATTTTTATTCAGTTATAAATGTTATCAAAAGAAGCAAAATTAGGTTGATTATTTAATCTCTTATGTTTTTTTTCTTATGTATGAATGCAATGACATGTTACATTTTCTTATACGGTGATAGGTTTCGACCTAAAATTATAGTACAAAATATGATACATCTCTAAACACTTTAGTCTAACCACAAAATAGTTTTTAATAGGCCCCTAGTATAAAAAAAATGTCTTATTCTGACAATCAAATATGTACACACTAATATTAGATAATTATTCAGTTCAGTCTTTATCTATTAGAAAACATGGGTTTAGAAATTGTCGTACGAACTACTAGCTACATAGAAACAAAAAAAATGATAAAGTATTACACTTGTTGATCTCGTCTATACAATGGCTTAAGTATAACTAAAGTAACGTGTTCAACAGTTTAAACTAAAGAACATACAGTCTTATCGTTGTTCGTATTGAATAAAGTAAGTGATCCAGAGAATCACAATTCCGTTTCTGGATATAAGGGAAATACTGCAGTTAAGGCTAACAGAAACTCATTAGAAATTTATCCCAGTAAACACTAAACGTATTCGCGAATGTTATATTAGAATACGACGTAGCAAAATTAGTTGTAAATACGTTATAAACACGTATCGATGGTTCTACACAATATACGTATGTCACGCCAACCTTTAGTCAAATTGTTAGCTGGGAT